TATATAAATAAAAAATAAATCATAAATAAATGTAAAAAAAAAGTCCGCATGCGAGTCCCTATATAGTAGTTTCGGGAAAACATTATCTTTTTATGGCTAAAACGTATACCTCTCATTAAGTAACTGGATGAAATCCTCAAGTCTGTCGTTAATGCTTGTGGTGAACTCTTCGATAGAACCACTACTCAACACGATATGGTGCAGTAAATTCCGGCCCTGATTGTCGCGTTGAAGACCCAAGTCTGCCCCAAGCTTTAGGACACTTGTTACAGTTTTCCACGCGCCTGAGGATAGAATTCGTCGTTACTGGTATGGGTACAGACGAGTCGATTCGGTCTGTCTATTTTTGTAGACTGTCAAGTTTGCGATTTACTCGCGTAATAATGTATAAAGAGCGATTTTTTTTCCGACAAAATTATTAAAGCGCTCTTTCCAGGGCCCACCTTCTCGAGCATGAGATAATTGACCAAGAAATTGCGCATAAAGCCTTTAAGTTTAAAGTTTTGTATCGGGTCTGCATCTTACAACTTGAATTGTTGCGGCAACGATCTACTTATTCTACGATTGGTGTTGAGTAATTGCCTGATACTCACTCCTGGCGGCTGCAAGCAGCACAACAGATCGACCTTCCTTATCTGTAGCATTCAAAGACGCTCCCTCATCTACCAAAAAATTTACGAGTTCTACATGATCGAACATGGCAGCGCAATGCAATGGCGTCATGTTTTGAGCATCCGCGCACGTAAGACAGCCCTAAACGATTTACGGTAAAGACAAAAAAAAAGCAATTTGTGTCAGATTAGGTATAAACGAAGCAGATCGTTATCGGCACAATCGTTATTGTTGTTAAATCTATTTTTACTGAAGCAGTTTCGTCCAGACAGCGACCAAATTCAGTAACATCTCTAAGTTGGTAACTGTTGACAGGCGTCGCTACTTACCATTTTCTGGTCGGGCTGACATCTGAACATAAGTTTGACGATGTCGATGGCTCCCTGCGAGCAGGCCAAATGCACTGGGGTAGACAGGTCATGTTGTTGTGTTGAGATCAGAGCACCGGATTCTAAGCAGAGCTCGACAGCTTTCAGATCGCCTATCAGTTGCAAGCAGATTATAGGTTAGGGTCTAGGGCGCTATGCGAAGAACAGAAATATTTTAGATTAAATTGAAATAGGACTATTCCTACTTGAATTCTTGTCAGAGCTGAGGCGGTTATAACCGACATTTAAGTGAAGAAACCATTATGTTTTTTAATGGAAAAGTATATTTGCCATCTGCGGCAATCAAAATGTATTTAAATAAACTTGGTTTAGAAACAAGGGCAGACTGCTAAGAGTAGCATGAAACTTGGAAGTTGCTGAACTTTTACTGTACAAATACAGTTACACGTGCAGTGTAGAAGATGGCTTTCCACATGATTCTCGAACAACAGCATAAATTATTGTGACGTGTTAGGTCTAACTTTTTACATAAAATTAAGATGCCTAGCTAGATTTCTTTCTCGCTATTACCGATTTCGCAAACCGAAATAACTATAACTAAGGATGTAACTTCTGCTATCTACTAGGACAAAGCAAGCTTTCTTAATGTATACTTTCAAAATCACGTGTATTTTTTCTTTTTCCGCCTCAAACGGCCAGATTATATCCTAGATAAATATCGCGAAACGAATATATTTGGTGATATTATCTTTAATATCGCAAAATATTAACCCACGTTGATTGAACCATCAACGTGCGTATCTAACTTCCGGCCGTCTTCGCTGCTCTACCTTTATCCTCTCACTCAGAGTTCTATCCCTAACTCTGCAAATCGACGTTACAAGGGAGCCACACTATTATTTTGACTCTTAAAACTTAACATATGTCTTCTGACAGTTTCCTACATATTCGTATACTATTTCCCTGCCAACCTGGTCATTGCTGGCCTCTTTTGAACCGGTTATAGCTACTTTCTTCTATAGAAGAAAAATTCTTAAGGACCATCCCAATGTCTACCGACTTCTTCTCTTGCAAAGATCCTTGAATGATGTATACCCATTCAACTTAAACTCCAACTTTTCTGTCTAACTCTTGTCCTATCTCTCCACCATTTAAACTTTCGGAAGAGCTTTGCTTGCGAGGACCGCCCTCAATGACGTCTCAATGCAGATTTGTCGATGTGACTAAAACTTTAAACTAGATTATGTTGTTGCTACTCTACTATCATCTTATATAGGATCTTCTGACGTCTCCTGGTCATATTTCTCGAGTTTTATAACAAACAGATCTAAATGAGAATCGTGGGAGCTTTTTTATTCTGCGCAACGCTTAAAAATAACTGGCCAAAGTACCATCCTAAGTCCTACACTACCTATTCTCCACATTAACAATCTCCTCTTTATAGGGAACTGAAGTCCCTACAGCTTGACCAAACCTATTGCTGATAACATCACAATACTCATACTCTGCCACCAATAGCATAGCTCTACTTATCTCTTATTCATAGGCTAGACTTGATATCGCTCTCTAAAGTTCTCACTTAACAGTTCCATATTAGTAGGAGTTTTTTTTCAAGCACCCTCGTTGCCCCCTTTCTGTTTCTGCTACTCTCACCGTTGATTCCTCATTTCCCGCCCCGCTTTTCGGTTTCCTATTATAGAACTATTCCTTTTAGCCATCTCATGTTAATGGTCTTTCGCCTAGATAACCCCGTGTTATCTCCACCCCCTTACCTCATGTTCCTTGAGCGACCTCCAAAAATCTTTACTAATCCCTGTTTGTCCCTCTTATTTTTTACGGTGTGTTTTTATGAGAACAGGTCGCAGCTGTAAAATAAGGCAATTTCAAATCTCATAAATGCCCTTGTTGTGCCTCCTCTGTCTCTTCTTATTGTTTTCTTATGTTTTTCTCGACAAACCTGGGTTCTGCCTCTTAGCCTACTAGTCAATCTCTTACGGCACTAGCCTACTAGGTTTGGTCATTTAGCTCCTCCTCCGTTCTCATGCATCAGGTACTCTCCTCACCCCTGATCTCTGTTATTGATTGCTCCACAGAAGCCCCGATCCCAACCTCAAAGATCGAGCTCTCAATCCAATTACTTCGTAAAAATCTCATCACTCCGTTCATTTAAAAGCTATGTTATTAATTGTCTTCCCAAAAAATGTCTTTCATTGCCCCTTTATTGTAACTGACTAGCTTACCCAAACGTAAATCTACCCGTCCTATACTTTTTTTTTAATAGTGTTATTACTAGTCTTGCTATTATTATGTCTCTTTTTACTCTACTTCTACGTATGTTCTCTCCTTAAACTGCTGCGACTCCACTAGTTATTAAGAATGACTTCATACTAAACGCGTTAGGTACGGGTGCGGTACCTCGACCTACTTACGATATTGAGCGATTCATTCGAAACCATTCCCTAAACATCGCTATATAATATCACTGAAGCACGAGTTCCGATAGACATATTCGCCATTACAAAAGATTTATTTAGAATTTATCTAGTGATATGTAAGCATATCTGTCTGAATAGAGAAATAAACAGCTGTACATTGGACACACTAATCGGAACGCAGTTGTTAACCCACATGTCGATCTGGACTGACAAAAGCTACTCTTGTCGTGGATCATGTGCCGATATTATAGCAAGATATATATACGCACATATATATTAATTGTCCTTTGTTTCACCTAGAGGTAGATGGAGCTAGCTTGTTCTACGAATAAAGCAACGCAAAATCGGCGTACAACACTCAAGTAGTCAGTTCCACAAAATCGACCGCCCCCCCCCCCCCCCGTGTTTGGGGGTAAATTGAAGTGAAATAACTTTAACGAACCCTGAGAAGGCAAAACTATAGCGAATATTTAGTCAATGTCGCCCAAATTTTCTTAACACCCTGTCACTTTGTGTTCCGTTAAGTTTACCCAACTACTGTCATCAAGCCAACCCACATTTTCCCTTGTATCTTATGAATTGGTGAACAGGAGCCAAAAATCTCTGAAGTTTATTTACGTCCGTAAAATCTTTACCATTAATTAATTTAACTACCGATTACTAGATATTCAACACTTCGGATTGACAATGACAAAGCTATAACGCAAACATTTTTTTTCACAGGCCTTAGACATAATCGAGCTGACATGATATTGGCATAATCTTCGGATAAAATTTCATTTGAGGAGCAGCGGATGAAGACCAGAACATGTTGCTAAGAGGATAATAAACACTTCACTACAGACAGAATTATCAAGTACCCTCTGTCTGTGACACAAGGAGAGATGCTCTCACTTCTAGCTATAATAATAGGAACTAGATTTAGCAGTGCTTTTGCAATCTATGCAGGCAATTTATCTTCTGCAAAACGTATTTCTCGGTGTGGTAGATCTAAGCATCATATTATTTGGGCTGTTCTTCAAATCTGAGCATAAGTTTATAGCATGATCCTTAACCCTTAACAGCATACTACGACGTGTTAGATAAGATGTTTGCTACAATATAGAGTCGGATTGTTAGGATCATGACCACTAAAACGTGTTCGTAAATGAAATGGTAATCATTTGCTGACTTTTGTCGCAGTCCTAAAAGGACCTAATGAGAAAACCTTCTCATCTCATATATGTGGCACGATTTGTGTGGCCATACCTATACTCGTAGGAGGCCAAGTTGGAATAACGATTTTACAATAACACCCCGAAGCAATAACAATCTAGATCCTAATTAAGCTGTATTCAGTTCCGCTGACTTCTGAGTGCAGTACACATTTTTCTAATGGACGCTGTATGATTCCCCTGCAGTTTGTGAAGGGCTGGCTCTTCGTCGTATAGTATCTCGTATAACGCTGCATCATCACATTTGTTATATATATATATTTTGCTTTAACATGGCTCTCAACCCACCCGGACTAACGATTAGTGAAGTAGCGTAATTAATATACAAATGGAGAGTAGTGACAGGCCTCGATAAAGAGGAGAAGTCCAAGGCTGACACGCCCAATTTTCGTGCAGGACGCGGCGAAAAGTTAGGCAATGGAGCGGGGCACAAACATACATTTTGAAAGATATTACTTCTCTAATATGATATCTAACCTTCAACTACTAGATTAAATGATAAATGATCGTAGTATGACATACCTGCGTGTACCGCTGAGTGTAGGGGAACATTGCCATCGGCATCGAAAAGCTTCATCATGTCCGCTCGGGGGATCCCAATCGACTCGCAGAACTCCAGTAGAACTCGCATTGCGTTGGCGGACGCGTTTTTCGCCGCCTCATGTATAGGGTAGAAGCCATTGTCGCAAGTGGTTTTCGGCGACGCCGCGAAGTCACGCAGCTGCTCATGGTGAAGACAAACCCTGAATTACTTACTTTACAAAACGTATGCCCAACAACGGGAGTAGTGATAATAATGCAAGTAATACTATTTGTAGAGAAACAATGGTCATATGTGACTACTGGTTATTTGTCAGCTTTTCCATGATGGAGAAAAAGCATTCTATATGACGTTTCATTGAAGACGCAGATGTATTTTTTTGAAAGGAGAAATTATCAAAAAAGATCCTTCTCCGAAAGGAATCAATGATTCTGCTCTGGAAAACTTTATTACATTTGAATTCTATAATGATAATACTTATCATTATAGAATTCAAATGGGAATTCGAATCAAATTCGAATGGGAATTAATACTTAATTCCCATGAATGAATATGGTGGTAGCATGAATTTTACTGTATATACTGACCAGGATCTACATTATGTAATTAACTGCTGCACACAGTGTGTACAAAGAAGAGTCAGCCCTTATTCTCCATCGGACTTGTGATCCTATTACCCAGTGTTTATGCGTTCTCACGATTATTCGGACCGCTTTAGGCCATGCAAACTCACTAAGTTTCACCATTAGACATGATGAAGATATATATGGAGATTATTCTACTTAGAACGAACCAAAAGCCGTTGGAACAAGTCTTCACAAAGCTCATAGATCGACTCTAACATATTACGCCCTTTCCAGCTTAGCTGCATAACCATGGTTATGCGTAAAGTTCTATTTGTAATTTATTATTAAGAGATCAGTAGTTTAATAATACCACCAGTTACGTACGTAGGACGATTCTTCTCCTGTCGATGATAGACTATTTGAGTTGAGCCAGGCTTTATTGATCAAATACGTCTGAAATGTGTGCGATCTAAAGGGCAAGCCACATAATGGCCTACTTATTCTGTTATTAAAGTCAATCTATTCATAGTAAATGAGAAAACACCTAATGCGGAATTAAGGATTATATGTGTGTGCTGACCGAATGAAATTGTTTCCGATTTCCACGGTAACTTACGAGTACGAGTGCTGCTTCAGCATTATCCGAGATGCACGCGATATGTAGTGCCGTTCTTCCGTGCTTACTCCTCTGTTCAACGTCGATCTTATCCTTAAAATTGCAAAGCGCTTTGAGGGAAGCTACCTGTATTTAAAAGAGAGGAAATGATTTAGTTTTCGTATCGTAACTACGTTGTATGCAAATGTACGAAAGCTTCGAGAGGGGTGAGCGATCATTGGAGCCTGTATTTATATATGTAGCCAGACACGGTATCGATAAGCAAAAACAGAGTTGAATTGGGGGGGTGCGTTTGGCTCAAGGTTTCTCAAGGTGATTCTAAGTACACGGCAAGCTTTATATACGTGTTTAAAAGGACTTGTTAACATAATGAGTAAACAACAAAAGTGGTAAGATGTCCTTTCGTCAATGTTATCTTCTAGAAAAACAGTAGCATTATCCTATCCATACAAACTGACCTAACTGATTTTTAACTATTTGTGAAATTTCAGTCCTACACTTCGATCATCCATATAAGATCTCGAAGAAACCTTTAAATTTATAGCCTTTTCCTCAGTACCTATAATCTAGGTAAATGCGTAAATACATAATCAGCATTCGGCCCTTCATCGTGCACATCCTGTTATGTCTAGACAAGCGGTACCTGTATGTTAGGTTTCTAGAAATTAGTGGATATAACCTGTGAGCTAGCTCCATTATTTTACCGAACTCACCTAGCTACTTGACCTGAAGTGTCAAAATAAAAGAGGAACGTTGTTGTTAAAGCTATGCATTTGTAATAGCTTAATTTAGAGCCAAATAACAAAGCAGATATTGTATAAGCAAGGCTATATAGGCACTTGGTATTGACTAAATTATTGCGTCCGAATCAATACTTTACTGTTACATTACCAGCTGTTATCGGTTCGGAAAATAGCAAAGAGTCGCGTAATACATTTCCGGTCCCGCTTCTGTAGCAGTTGAGTTACAGATATTTTTTTAACCCACTTTCAGATGTTCTACGAACTTCGCTTTGGAAAGTTTCACGAAGTGCTTCAAATGTTCGCGATCTGAAGAATACTCAGATGAGACTTAGCATGGTAGCTCTGAAAGTGATCTACTTCTTCTTTAACTGTTTTGTTAATTCGGGACTGTCAGTCCTTAAGGCGCGCGCCTCAAGCTCTTGTCAAATGGGTACTCCTAATCAATTTGGGTGTACTAACTTTGTTTAGCTGCGTGGCGACATGCAGCGGGCTCTGATGCTCTTTGTTGAAGCATTGCAGCTGTTCAGGATCGTTGTTGATGAAAAATGCAATGGCTTGAGCTGCCCCGTTTATACAGGCCGAATGAAGCGGCGTGTTGCCTGTAAATACGCAACGAGTGAGATCAGACATCCATGCACTGAACTTCAGCATGACTTCCCACAAAACCGACACAATACATTATGGCAGTATCAATTACCAGGAAGAAAACTGTCATATTTAGCACAAATGTAGAATATCTTTGAGCAAACTGAGCAGCCATAGAAATAGGAAAAGAATATAGGGGTGATCTCTCGCAGTGAAAGATCGTCCCGAAAGAGAAGGGAAGCTATAGGCAAAAAGGGAGTTCGAAAAGGCCACCTTCTTCCAGATTAAAAGCCAGGACCTGTTCTTCTGATAATGTATTCTTCCAGCTTTACGCAGCCATTGTCGATTGATACGGCGCATATCCCCTGTCTTGCGGTCTATTCGGAGTTAGCTGACTTATTGTGGTCAACAATAACCTACTGGCGTTTATGTCGGCTACTAGCGATTTTAGGACCGTTAAGATCATTCAAAATGTAAAGACAAGCCACCGTATTTACAGAGAAAATAGATTTCATTTATGAATTAGTTAAAATTTTCAATGATTATAACAGCAGTATAATCTTAGTAGGAAAAGTGACGCATATCGTGCAAAAATTATAAGTCACTGGTCAATTGAACTTCCGAATAAAAAGGTATTAATTTAGAAAAAAAAAATTACTGCCAGTTCAGCCGTCTTTTGTTCTGTGACGGAATTCGGTACCGCTATTTTAGCGGGAAGTTGGTTAACGAGGTTCGAAACAGCGAAACTGTCCCGTCCACAGTAGCCATTGACAACGAATAATTCGCCATGTTAGCAATGGGCTCAATTTGACTGAAAGCTCATAAAGAAACGGATGGAGATTTCGGATTAACAGAGAGCGTTAGCTGCTGAAGGTCCTCCAGAGCCTCAAGTACGAGGCCTCAAGAATCAAAAGTTGATTCTTTACAATCTGCGTATAATGCTTCTAGCTGCTTGCATTCTCATGTGTGTTGACATCAACCCCAGCTTTTTTTTGACGTCTGCTTCTATTTAACATAATGATTAATTCTGGATCGTTTTGATGCGTTAGCTGTTTTCAGACAAGCGCTCCCAGTAAGGATCAGCTACTGCTGCTAATCAATCAGGCGATCCCATACTAAGAAAGATACTTGACTTCTATCAACGACAGATATAACGGTAGGCACTTAACGTTCGAAGGCTTGCTTACATGCGTCTAGAATGATAAATGGAAGAGTTATGCGATTTAATAATGTTCTCTCAATTTTACTATGGCCACGTACACAAATTATACTCCTTATGTAATTTTATTAAGATTTACCGGTGAATAAATGTTGCATACAATTCGTTGTCCGAAAGGTCGAAGTCGGTGGAGGTCAGTTAGAAAAGGCCCTGACACGTCCGCCAGGCACAGATCGAATATAGTGAAAATAACATTTTTATTAATCTCTTTCCGTTATTGTCATTTGTAAGGTTGCCTTTCCGCTGGCGTCTGGCTGAATTTCCCAGTCTACCATAGGCGAAAGTTCGCAGATGATTTGCTTGCTGCAGATAAACAATACATATCGAGTGTTTTTTTTTCAATTTCATTGATTTTATAGCCAATACATTATTTATCAACATTGTGTTATACAATTTTCCGGGTTAAATTCTTACTTAGCTCACATAGCTTTATAAGGACAAACATGTTTTTCAAGGATAACTTTAGCCTGAAGCATGATTATATCTTTAGATGCTTCACAAGCTAAAGGGCTCGCAGGTGGCGGAGTGTAAAAGCTGTGACCAAATCATATCAGTACTTTGCGCTTTCAAAAACCAATAGGAGACAGTGTAAACGAGCCGATTTCCGGTATTAGGTAAAAGGCATAAAAAAACAAATAGGCAGGAACGCGTATTGACCTGTAAGATGCCAGCCATTTGTGGCTGAAAGGAAATGAGAACATAAGTACAGGTGTAACATAAAAATGGTTTCGAAAACGCTTTTCGAAGGATGACGTCAGCATATGGCTTCACTATGTTTCCCAAGTGATATGTAGTTCTATGTCTTAATTAGGTCTAACAGCGAAAAGCAATGAACGCAGTTTTCAAAACGTTACATGTATGAGTCCCTAGTTAGTGCTCCACGTGCAATTGAGGCGCACGCGCATGTTGATGTAGACTACTGCAACGTTCAACGTACAAAATCTGATAACTGTCCTGCTATTGCAGCTTTTTTATTAGGGTTAATCGTGCATAAGATTGCAACGAACATGCCATCGTGACCTGTTATCGTTTTTGGCCGTTTTTTTACAGCGATAACGTTTGTATCCCATTTTGCCTTTTTGGACCCTTTAATAATACATTGCTTTCGAAGGCGAACAATAAGGGTAGATGCAAAGAAGAGTAGGATGGCCTTCTAGCCGCTGCTTCATGCTTGCTTCAATTTTTAGCACCTGTTTTTCTATAGCGTAAACAAACGCTGGCGGGTGACTTGAGTCTACAGACCAGTTCAATACTGTTATTAAGAGCTTAATGATCTTCTATACTTTGCCGCGTTTGTCAAGGGATTGAATATTGTAAAATATAATAACTCTCGATTAACTGCGACTCAGATACGGACTGTACGAGGTCGAAACGATAGCAGTTATATGATTTACATGTAACGATGGGATTAGGAGCGATGTGCTCGAATAGAGAGTAAAGTTTTCCATGTGTTGGTATTAGGAGCAGCTTTAAGAGTTGGATAGCTGATGACTACAGTAAATGATGCCACACTGATTCAAATCCTCAGCATTGGCAAAAATTACTATTAATGAGGGAAACATCAGCAATTAAGAAACATGGCGTTATTTATCACTGTTATTACTATTAGAAAATAAAAACTGAACTTATAATAACGTTAACATATTAAATTATATAGATATGCTGTTTTGTGCAGAGCCCTTACGGTCATGTCAAATTACGTAACAAGGTTTCTCTTATTCATTTTGTCATATATCATGCTAACTGTGCAAAGACAGTTGGCTAGAAATCCCATCAAATTGGGGTGCTTACGTATTAGAGAATGCGAAATTTGGTATGTGTAATAGCTGAGGTTTACTAGGTGATTGGGCATCTGCGGATAGGTCGGCAGTCAAAGCCATAAATACATGTAAAAAAATAAGCCCAATGTCTACATTGTCCACCCCATAACGGTACTGTGGTAAGGTTTTTGCCTTTTCAACCTAGGAACACACAAGATGATTTGGATTTAATGTCGGGTTTATACACACTTTGTCTTGCATTGGGAGTGGTCAGCCGCTTACTGCTTAATGCCAATGTAAGACGTAAACATTTATTATAAATGTTACCTGCATTAGAGACTAGCATTGGCTTAGTGTTGCGTCATAATATTTTCCATAAATAGCAATCAGCATTATAATATTGATCTGTATTTTAATGTGTGATGTTCGAGATGTAGTTACGATACTTTTAGCTTCGTTAGATTGTGTACACTGGAAAAGAGTTCTTTTATCGTTTCTGCCTATCTTCTTCAAAGTGAAGGTCACAAAGACCTTAAGGGATGTTCAACTTTTCCCATTCTAGCTATCGAATCTAGTGGCGAATTTGCCGCACGGACATCAATCAGGCCGAGACCTTTCGTGACACCATGAGAAGTCCTTTGCCTTGCAGAATCGAATATCTACTGGCTTCTAAGTGGTATTCGTAAGAGACGTAAAAATCCATTGCTTGGTTCGTTTGTGTCATAGGTCTGTGGGTGATGGAGGCGGTGCCACACGCAGAATTCGTCTTTACCCATTTTTACCAAACTTCACCCACATGATAACCAAAGGTAGCGAGATCGCTATGATGATCATAAAATTCAAAAATAAATTGCCACCGTTTTTGACGACGAAAGAAAGTTTGTAGACAGCACAAATACAGTTTCAATATATCGCCATAAAAAAACAAAACAACAAAAGACATTTTCAATTTTTGTTCACGTTTTCCTTATGCAGAAATACAATTAGCGATTAAGGCGTAAAGCTGCTCACTTGATTTTGTTGACTCACGTGATCTGAATTTACATACTGGTATTCATCGAGGGTTTGATACCATCGGGCCTCTGTTTGTACATTGCTGTCTTTTTTTGAACCCATGATACGCAGTTTCAGTATCTAATAGCAACATATCTATAGAAAATACAGTGTATGATTACGCTATTTCTCTATAGCGTTAATTTTGAAGAAGAAAACATTTTATAAAATTTAATAGGTAGCACTTCTCACAATGGCAGTGCCTTTTTCTTTTAGCAGACGAAACATCTCTTGGTGTGGCTATAGCTAATATCTATATATATATATATATATATATATCGTTGTTAACTGTATATAAATATATATACAAGAAATTACTTCGCGATATTTTGTTATCATTATTCTTCACTATTTCACTAGTTAAGGGTTTTTCTCAGAAAAAAAAAATCACAAGAAAACATAAAATACGGTCTCTACCCGACTTTCCATTTCGGACTTTCCGCGTAGTTCATTGTCCCTCTAATTACTTTGGTTGCTATCGTACTTATTTTTCGGTTAAGTTCGCGAGTGCTATCAGGAAGCTTTTCGAAAACTGTAAGCACGTAATTGACGCAATGCAGCCTATCTTGTATTGTAGTTGTTAGCGCATTGTGTATTGCTCTATTTTTATCAATTCATCCGTGCGCTTAGCGTTGTCAAATGTCGAATACGACCCAGTATTCGACATTTGACAACTTTGAACTTTCCTGCCCTTTCAAAAATCTCGTGAAACCGCTATTGTTTGCCGTTCGGCGAATTAATTTAGTAACCAATGGACAAAGCGTACGAACATGCCTTGAAACGACACGTTGCTTTGTGATGATATATGAATGCATTTGATGTTGCCAAAGGCTGATGGAGCAGGCACCTCAGTTCATATTGTACCCACCATGTCACGTGTGATCTGGGAGCAAAACCTGCGAGCGATGTCGTATGTCTCTGATTGGACAGCTGCTTCAACCTAGGCTACCCCTGAAGTAAGTATTCACTGTTTCCTGTTGTGCCCTTAGGCCAGTCCAAACCAGGTGAGGCTACCTGATGTTCTAATACGTGCCTGCTCTTTCAATTTTAATTATCTATCTAGATAAGTTTTGTGCTTCGTTTTCTAGAATATGAAGCATTTTATAAGATCGTATTACTGTTTCCTCGACCTTGTTTAGCTTGCCCCTAGCCTGAACGTCTCTAACTTGTATACTTCTCCTTGATGATGTATCTTTCCCGCTAGCGCAAAATATACTAAAACAGGACAGGTCAAATGAATATTTAGACTAGCTGGAAACATCGCAAACCGATATAGCTAGGCGTTGCTAACAAAGTGGCTCAAATTTTTGTCCTTAAGGCAAGGCCGTTCGGCCACTGCACTACAAATACCAAGTACCATTGTTTATGCGTGCAATTACGTGGTTCCCTTATGCGCAATTCCCAGGATCTAGTTCGTTGCAAGTTATTAAAGATAGAATAAACACTTCTTGAATCACTTGTTAGCAACCGAGAATGCATGCTTTTAGTATAGCATCATGTTTACTATCTAAGATAATTTTTCTTTTTTGTAATCTTTTTAGGCCCAGTGTGACGCAGAACGTACTACCACTTTGATGGCTGATGCGCTATAAGCACACAATGCCCTAATATAGTTACATAGCGAGTTGATATATACAAATAATAGTGATGATAGGATTGATAGGAACAGTGCGCGTACCTCTTATATAGCACGATTTTAAGCATTAAACAAGCAAATCTTGGAAGAATCGTCCAGAGCTTACTCCATACCTCATTTTACAGCTTATTGTTTATTAAGGTTATTTCACTGATTTCCGCGCATTATAGAAATGCGCGTTACTAACATCTCAAGTTTGAGTAAATGGCAATCTGTGGAATTAAAGAAAATCCTGTTCAATGGCTGAAATAAGCGTTCGTGTGGAAATAAAACCAACCTCGAACCACGACATTTGTTTCTGTTTGCTATGAAACATGATATAAAAACGCATTTACTAAGAAAAGACAGAGAAAAAATTACTTTTGAGACCATTAAACTTTTACACTGTGTTGCATCACTTCTTGAATATACAACACATTATATATATATATATATATATATATAGATATATATATAAACTTACCTTAACATAATTTCAGAAAGCGCACTAAAAAACAAAGCTCTTAAATGAAGTATATAGAGTCTCAAATAGTCAGGCTATATCCTCCTGGAAATCTGCTTGAATAAATTGAGGACACGCAATTCAAATCAAGCTGCATAGTGATCTGACATCAAAAACTGAAAACGGGTCTGAAGGCAAACTGCGGCTTAAATATTGAAATATTTAAATTATCACCTCTTAAAGGTACAACCAGATAGCACCGCAGCTTTTTAGCGACATTTTTAAAGCTAATCCCGAACGTTTAATGGTCCAGCATGTATAAAGATCACTGTGATTCGTTTTTTACCCCAAGCTAGGAAATGGTTTTTGTTCCACGTTCGGTAGTTCCGCTACGCATTGTTTCAGACCGCTGGCTCTTGCCAGCTCGAAGCAGAGTGTATCTGTGCCTGCATTCGAACCTACTAGATTACCCCGTGTGCAAATAAACACTTTACCCACTGCGCTACCATGGGGAAAAATGGTTAGAAAAGCCTTTTGTACGGTTAATATAAACGTAAAGATTTAGTGAACCCACCTTCATTATCTAATGGGCGGAGATCCACGTTAGGCCTGTTGAGGATAAACTCGAGAATGTTGATTCGGTTATGTGCTGCAGCGTGATGGATGGCCTGTCTCCCACGCGAATCCCGAAACTGTAGTCGCCGCTCATCAGCTGCAAGCAGTCGCTGAAATTCGGCCATGTTGCCTTTTTCAGCGGCCTAAATAGTGAACGAAAACGAGACATAACACTTAATATAATTTTACTAGCTAGATAACTCTCGAAAGCCGTCATGTTCTGTTTTTTCGACACTTGTTGATTATACTAGGTTAGGTTTAGCATTTAACTGACAGCACGCTTTCTACAAGGACGAATATCTTGTCGGGGGCAATTTCGAAATGACGCTAATGAAAAACGACTGAATGTATTTACCTACATTTTCCCTTATTAAATGCTTCACAGATTAGGCTGGCTCCCCTAGCTTTCTTCACAATAGTTATTTATTTCATTTAAATGTTGGCTTTTTTTTTTGCATATATTTAGACCCTCACTTTAAAATGGTAGTAGTAAGTTCGTTCACCGCCAATTGACACCAATAGCTTCAAAACCGATGCGATGAGCCACTCGACGTTATTCCCTTGGATCGGTCGCATACTGAACTAATTCGGGCAAAAGCCCGGTGTTACTAACTACCTGAACCGTCCCGTTAAGTTACATGTCTCGCAAATCACATAATTATTTACGATCTCTGACCAAAATTGTATCAGAGATTAGCGAACTGATAAAAAATCAGTCGCATAATTTGGTGTTTGACATCAGTATTCAGTTTTTCAATTTTTGCTTCTTGAAACTGAGAGCGCAAGTGGAGAATTCGTGAAAACATTGACAAGAGGCTTGTTAATAATTGGTCTATAATTATTATTAAATAATTACTTCAAAGGAAGCACTTGCAAGGTTGAAGGTCTCGGAGTATTTAGCTATAGCTCAGGATCTGAAGCGAAAAAACGAGCTATTATGACTACGACGCTTTTTCAGCAAAATACAGATCGACCATGGACTCCATTGTTACATTAGAACATGTGCTATGAGACTGTGGTGAAATAGCATTTCCAGCAAACGGGTTTAGATCGGCGAAACGGGTTCCGAGTCTGTGATAGATTGACGCACGTGCGGCGTTCTCGACAGACAATTTTCAGAATTACTACCAGTAAAAAATCTGTGTGGACGCAGAGAGATAGATTAGACGCTGCGCCTGTTAGAGCGAGATAGCACAGGATAAGAGAATGGCGTCGAACGGCAGCGAGATGGATTTTTACAGTAGAGCCGCATAGGCCCGGATCTAACCTGGTACTGCCTATGGTCGCAACGCAAATCAGGGGCATTTAGTATTACGAGACCTTGCCCGAAATGTAAACGATTAATTCTCTCGCGTATTTGTTTTTTTCTTAGGAAGTCCTATGCACATCGACAGCACAGAGTGTGGCAATGCGGACTTCAAGGACGCTTTCATTACGGCCTGAATTGCAAAATGCGCAACCGAGCGATATTCTCCAGATGTAAATTGGATTCACAATTATTTTTGTATATCGTTATTTATGATTCCCATGTTGCCATTTAAAAAGGGCGATAGCTGATGCGACGTATTTTACGATCGATCACGAGATAAGGTATGGTAATAAATGCTGCAAGTAGACAAATGTTGAGAAGCACGCAGAGCTTTACCTTTGTTATATAAATAATCAACAGGAGTTCATTAAAAACCTATAAAAATAATTGATTTATTATTACGTATCACTGACAAATAACTTCAGCTCTTCTCGCTACTGAATAACTATGACTAATCTAACACTATTTTATTAAGTTAGATCATGGGAGACTTTTACTTTTGTGTTAAATGCAAAAAAAAATTGGCGAGGATGCAATGGCGGCGATTTCGTTCTCTCAGATCGGGGTGCATCATGGGATTAAAACAGGAAATGGTCGTAGTATAACTATTCGTCGTAAAAATAGATATTCTTTTTTTTTTTTTTGATAGTTTTGTTGCAGTTTTCTGACTGTTGAAATTTTCTTCAGCTTCTCTCTATAGCTTTTCGTCCCGTTCCTATAATATCTATATACACATACAGAATTGATTAGGTAAGCAAATAGCTCCTTTATTTGCAAACGGTTTGATGATACCAGTAATATGACATACAACAGTCCTAAAGCAGGTTCACCCATTCAGGTATTCTTAAAATTACTTAGCGGTATCCGTTCGCTCTGTCAAGCTGCTGCTTGATAAATACTAGAACTCTGCATAATTTTACCCGTAATAACTTCTCGACAACGTCCTGAGCAACACTCAAGCGAAACAACTGATCTCCCTTTATTTCGGTCAGGTAGGATCCAGTTGATCTGTGCTTCCTACAGGCTATTGCCTAACAGATATATAAGAGTAGGAAGGGGCCCTGTTTTTGTTTCAAAATAACTGACTAGCGTGTTATTGTTGAAACACAGCTTTTGCCCCGTTAATGTGCTTAGCTGTTACATGGCACATGAATTAGAGCTTTTCTAAATATGTAATTCACATAAAATGTATTGAAGTACATTACGAACGGTATTGATGTTTGTAAGATTGTTATTGTTTATTTCAGTTACCCTGTAATTGGACTGGTTATGTTTTTTCGTCTGTATGATTTGTCACGGAAACGTTGTACATATGCACCATAGATTTGCCCAACATCTATGAAGCTAATGCAATGTCTAGGAAGCACAATTACACTTTTCCATCAGATGATACCAACGCGTTTATTTCAATTTCAAGCAACTGTTTTGCCACGGTTGAAACGTTTAATTGAAATTTCAATGGACATTTGTTATACAACAGTAGGAGGATTAATAGAAATGCCGTTTAGGTGCCACGAACAATACGTTATGCACGAAACTCGTTGACGAGTTCAATTCAAGCTATTGCCTATAGAGCATTGGTCCAAACAAAACTCGGGAGCCACTTTTGAAATATCTTCAATTGCGGGTAGGCTGCTGACCATTTTCTGGTGCAGAGGTAAGGCAACGGGTAGCGAACACACACTGCTGGCGTTGTGTAATAGGACCTATATTAACAAAAAAGTATTTCATCAGTTTCAAGAAGCGCCAAATGCCAAGTTCGTAGCTATGGTCACAGCGTTATTTTTTTACTTATTTATTTCACAGCGCATTTCTTCTGGGCTATAATTAGTACTTGAACAATAAGTACGTCGAAATGCTTCGTATTCTACTATTCGTGTCTGTTATTTAGTAAGTGTCAGTTTTTGTCTAGCACAAACAAAGGATATAATAATGGACAAACCCAGCTTCTCTGATGAAGCCCGAGATTGTTGGGTAAGACCAATTTGTACCCTTGTTGACTCTTATTAGATCAATGTAATTTGCTGGATAGGAGCAGGACAATTTTCGTGTGGCATCACGTTGTCACTGTTCCGCAACCGAAACTTTCTATATGGTGTGCTGTTAACGGTGTAATATTTAAGCGAACTGGGATGATCGACAAGCGAATCTTAGGGCCAGATGGGGTAGTCTAGGCTCGAACATGGTCGTAGACATAACTCGTTTCGAGCTAGAAAAAGCTAGCTGTTTGATGGAACACGTAACGGTGCTGCCGGACGTAAAAATAAACACATTTAGGAATAATCGTCAAATAGAGTTGTTGATGTCAGTATAGGTTCATGGGTAGCGACCTTTTCAACTGGACACATACCGGTTTCGTACTTCTTCGTGCTAAAACGTCTCGCCTGTAACTGCTCAAAAAGATACTTTTGCTTTAAATCGGTTTTTTCCAAAAACTTTTAACGAGTTACCCGGCTCATTCCTATGTTTGAAGTCGACTCTATACATAGCTATTATGTAGGGTGTTTCTATGGTCGAGGGTCATTTGTGAGGGAGTGATAGGGTGCAGTGAATAAATCATTGTTCCCAATGGTTCTATTGGCGGTAATCGTTTTGCCACGAAATTGAACCAGTGACTTGGCAGATCTGATTGTACGTATAATGCCCCCGTTGCAATGTGAGGACATATCTTTGAACTGGGAAGAGCCTGTTTTCAGGCACCCACCTCAAGTCAGGTGATTCAATACAACAGGCAATAGTAAAACGAATAATGACGAGCTCTAATCCAACACGCTTTCAATGATAATGCTTAAAATCTTTTCACTATGGTCAGTAGTCCGGGAATATCAATCCAAAGCTAGAAGCCCGCTTTCTATTAATTGCGAATTGGGCTAGCAAAACCCAGAAACACGCTTTAGCTTTAAAGTGCAGTATCGTAACATTTTTTTTCGTCTCAGGTGTATCCTGGCCAAATTTGATGAAAAGTCAATTTTTTTAGCTTGGCTGTTTGCTCGCATGATGACAAATGTCTAAAATAGCGACTGTGAACTATAACAAGAATTCGGTAGCGAGGAAAACGAGTGACCCATGCTTTTGCAAGTATCACATATTTTCCAGATTATCCTCACGATCGGATCTTCCAAATAGGATTTATGAGGATAACAGGTATAACACGTTCTCATGAGACTCCACCTGCCTACAGCCTGAGCATGTGAGCTGGAGATTAGTCGATCGGTCTAAAATGCGGCCTTTTGGATTACACGTAGATAAGAATGTCTCTAGCTCGACTAAGGTTACTTCAATTTTTCTCGATGCTTTCTCGCCTGCTCGACTGCTTTTTAGGATAAATATCATTGACGTAGCTATGGCATATAGGACAAATATAAATTTTTGTAAGGGTAATCTTTTATAAGTAAACAATTTTTTAAGTATTATGTAGGCTATTTGAATGTAGAGGATATCACTTGAGATCTTCGAAGCGACAGTAAATTCTACAGAGAAAAACATGTAAATTATATCTTTACTTTAATTCTCTGCCAATTGTTAACGCATACCTCAATTAGCTCATAAAAGCATCGAAGATCTATTGGGTGGGGTATAAACCTCTTCTTGAGCTCCAGGATCTTGGCCACATTAAGTAATACCTTGGGGCCGGTAATAATTTTTGGAGGATATATCCGTGAACTAAATGAGACTTCCCGTAGGAGACGTCGCTTCATTCCAATTAACGAGAGGCGAGTAACGTCGAGTTTCTCGTCTTCCTCAATCTTGCAGGCAATAGATTAACACCACAGAATACAGAAATAGTGTTCCCAATGACACGAAAGTTAAGACTGCCTATTTGATCACTTCGGC